GTGCTGATGTATACGTGTGCTGCAGATGGTGACGTGCAGCGACAATGCATTGCTTTACCACCCAAGGAAGATGTCCAATCTGGTGGCAAACGTTCGCTCAACTCGTTTGTTAAGCTTCCCACAAATCCTGTATTGACAGAGAAGGATGTGCCTGGCCTTATTGGGCTGAACCACTTTCGTGACCCCACAAACTTCTGGGTGAACCCTGATAACACATCAGAGTGGCTGGTGGCTTTTGTAGCCAGTGTTAATAATTCAGCTGGTATACCTGAAGCGCAGGTTGTTGTTTTCGCTACCAGTGATCCCAATTTTCGTTCAGACTTCCGATTCTCACACGCCATTTGGGAAAATTTGTTTGAAGTAGACGACATGCTTGAACATCCAGATTTTTTCAAACTGGGAGACGAATACTACTTGAAGGTGTCAACAATGGTCGGTGGTCAGGACCACTGGGTATATGGTAACTACTCGAAGGATGATGAAGGTGAGACGGTCTACGAAGCGGACGATGATCACTCCCGGACATTCATCGACTATGGCAGATGGTATGCATCCAAGCAGAATTATGATCCCATTCTCAATCGCACTATTTTGTGGGGTTGGATCCCTGAAGAAGACGCGGAAGCTGCAATGAAGACTCGTGGGTGGTCTGGTGCAATAGACATGCCTCGTAACGTCGAGTACGATGCTACTGCCCAAAAGTTAAAAACCTACCCCATGCCGGAGCTCGCCAAGTTGCGTCTCTATACTACAACGAGTGATGTTGAAATCCGGGCGAATGAGGTAAAAGTGTATAACGCCAACGCCCCGCTGCACTATGAAATGGTTGTGGATTTTGAAATACCTGAGGGATTCACCAACAAACCAGCGGAGAACACAGACACCGTTCCATCCTTTGGTGTTCTCGTACGCTACAAGGATAGCAACACATACACTCGATTCGCTGTGACGATGCCTCCGACTGCAAATATGGGGGTGGGGTTTGATCAAAAAGGAAGGGTGTTGGACCGGTTCACGGTTTTGTTGCAAGCGACGTGCGCTGAGGTGTGCGAATTCGATCGTCGTTGTGTCGCATGGACGGCGGTAAATACAACAGAAGACTCGCCTCAGTACAGCTGTACACTTATGAGTACCTATGGTGACGTTGTTGCTGCCAATGAATCTGTCGTGACAGGTCGTGTGTGGGAACCCATTCTTCTTCTGGACCGAGGCAAATCCGGCACGACTGGATTCCACGAAACCTGGACCGGCCGAGCTCCTCTCGTTGGAAATGGCACAAGGGTACAGCTGCGAGTATTTGTGGATGACACCATCGTTCAGGTCTTCAAGGATGGTGGCCTGGAATCGCTGACGGGTCGTGTTTACGTTCCCAATGACCATTCTGGAGTTGCCCTCTTCTCCTACAATATAAACTCAAATGTCTCGGCCAGAGTCTCTTTCTACGAGATGGATACTGTACATGAATCAAATGCGGCACCAACTAAGGCACCAACCGAGGGTTCAAATTCAGGACCGACCGAAGCACCAACTACGGGTCCGTCCAAGGCACCGGATGCATCGTGGCATACAGCAGGATCACACCTTATTAAAGTAATGTTTTTGGCAGTTACCCTTCACACCGTATTGCCGCTGCTTCTTTTTTGAGGTGTAAATGAACAGGAAAAATAAATGAAATAAAAATATAACCGTAGAGAGTAAAATAAAGCATATGCACTTTATTTATTTTTATCTTTTAATTGATGTATAAGCGAACGGAAAATATGGGCATTGTAGAACGTGCGAAAAAAAAAAAGTGTGTGGTTGAGTGCACACCCTCTGTTTCTTATTTTTTCATAATGATTTGGGGAAAACCTTTCTAGGTACGTTGAGATGGGCGCCATCGTCAAAAAATATCCCATTTTCCCTTCCGTAAGGGAAATATAGTGAATATATATTTCTTTTTTTACTTTTATTTTTATGCTTATTTGGTCAATCAATGCAAGGACTTTTCAGCAATATTTTTAAATGGGGAGACTGTAGAAGAAAAAATGGAAAATGAATTTAATTGATAAAATATGTTATTTTTTTCCTCTTCCTTTGCTTAACAACGATGCCGCATTTCCCACTCTAAGAGCGTTTTGTTTGTTGTTGCCTTTATTCTTTTTTTTTCGTTTCTCTATTCTTTTTTCTCTCACCTACAAGTTGTCACAGAAAAGGTGGTACAATTCTAGTGTTTGCATGAGGCCTGGTGAAATTGCCATTCGCTTTCTACGACGCTGCAGCATTCTCCAGTATTATGTGTGGATATTTACTCCCAACTGTATATATATTTCCTAGGGTCGGTGAAATTGTGAACTGCCCACGTTAATTTACCAGCGTTGCGGAAAATACTTAATAGGAGTCTGCGCTACGGTGCTGGGGCGAAGAGGGAAGTGAAATAAAGTGAGAGGACGCAGCTGATGTTGTAAAGAATTCTCAGTGTGATTCTGTATGTGAATTCCAAGCATTAATAATACCGGAAAACAACACAAACAACAACAAGGAAGAGATTTGGTAGAAGGTTAAGAGGGAAAATGAGAAAAATAATACTGTAACATTACGAAAATAGTTTGTGACCAATATTATTTTTATGGTTATTTCTTCTTATGGTTTCTGCTGAAGCAGAGCTCGTTTTATTACTATTGGTTATCCGCGCAAATGGAGGATAATTGGAGAATATTGGATGGGATGCCCTTTCTAGTGATCTACACCCACCGTCATTGATATGGATTTTAATGTCCGAGTAAATCATTAGAATTTTCTTGACTCTGACGGTATGCTTTTGACCACGTGTACGTGCCCACACTCTCTTTCAGGCGCTGCCTTGTTCAAGTTATAACTTTGCACAGAGTGAGAAGTATTCCTGCATTATTGGAAATGCATTTCACAAGAGGGTCCACGCACACACGCAGAAAAAAAGAAGAAAAAATGACTCCATTCAAACGGTCCCAATAATTCTCTATCAATATTCTGTAACGCCCCATCCCGTTCTATCCCCTACTCGAGGAAGGCGCTGTGTCCAAGTTCAAATTTTAAAGTGGGGGTCTCTGGCGCCCATTTGTTTCCGATAAAATAAAACAAACAAAGAGAATGTATTTGGGCAGGCGCACCCGTTACACACTTGGGGTCTCGCCCGGGCGATTGCGCTGCCCTCTAAACCCACCCCCTTGGGTTACGCCCTTCGTTTCCGGTAAGGGGATAACCGTTTAGAAATGAATCTCGCTCCCATTGCTACGGGAATTTTGCGAGATGAACGGTAACAGGCACATTATTCCTCACCCAAAGGGGTGCCCAATTACGGCATTTCGCGTTCGCAGCGTCTCGTTTACGCAATCTTGATCCAGTATGGCGTTGTGCGCAAATGGAAAATCTCACGAGATATCCCTGATAATGGGAGGTGCCGTGAGGGTAAATGCTGCAATGTCCGAAGGTTTAAAAAAGAAAAGAAAAGAAACGGAGACGCACTTCACAATTCCCCAACGGCAAACGAACTTCCCAACGACACGCGTGATGGGTGGCGGGCTTTCCCACGAGCGTGGCTCTGGGGAACAAGAGTGTCAGAGGGGAATTGTTTTCTGTTAAGGGTGATGTGGATTTTGAGGGGGGAAATTTGTGGAGGGAAACAATTATTGTAATTTATTTGTTTTATGTATAAACTCTGGAAGGGCAAGCGGGTATGATCGCATTTGGTTTTCTGCAACGCCAATGTCTGTCTCTTGCTCTCATGTTTTTTCTGTATTTCTATACAAACTGATGGTCTAAGCGTTAGTTTCGGTTGTTTATCGTTTTTGATTCAATCGAGATCGTTCTTTTCGCGCCCTCCCACCGCATCCCTGTAGATTTTTTATTTTTATTTTTTGTTTTTATTTTTCCACCCAGTGAACCGGCATTCGCTGCTGGAGTATCCCGAAGCCGTGGATGCAGTCTTTACCGCGTTGTCTTCCGGCCTCCGATCATGAGACTGTCCTTCACCTCATAAAAATGAGCTGAAACAGCAGCAGTGTTCTTCAATTGCCTTTTTTGTGTTCATTTTTCTTGTTTGTTGTTACTTTGGCTTTGCGTTTTTTATTTCCAATTTTTCCTTTATCTTGCGATAAATTTTTGGGTTTTTCTCAAGCCATGATTGTGTAATACCAAACGTTTTTTCATTATAATTAACTTTGAGTGGGCTGTCCAAAATGGCTTATCTTAGTCCACGGTAAAATTTCACAACAAAGAGAAACATCAACGACGCC